CGTAGCCGTAAAAAAAAAATAGGCAGTTGTTCTATATCCTTTCTGGTTCATCCAGGTAGAAGTCCTGGCATATTATTATGCCTGAGCGCTTCTAGGATATATAACACGTTTAGCATTTCAACCCGTAGCCGTAAAAAAAAAATCAGGCAGTTGTTCTATATCCTTTCTGGTTCATCCAGGTAGAAGTCCTGGCATGATATCATTATGCCTGAGCGCTTCTAGGATATATAACACGTTTAGCATTTCGACCCGTAGCCGTAAAAAAAAAAAAAAATTAGGCAGTTGTTCTATATCCTTTCTGGTTCATCCAGGTAGAAGTCCTGGCATGATATTATTATGCCTGAGCGCTTCTAGGATATATAACACGTTTAGCATTTCAACCCGTAGCCGTACGTTAGCCGTAAAAAACAATTTGGGCAGTTGTTCTATATCCTTTCTGGTTCATCCAGGTAGAAGTCCTGGCATGATATAATTATGCCTGAGCGCTTCTAGGATATATAACACGTTTAGCATTTCGACCCGTAGTCGTAAAAAAAAAATTAGGCAGTTGTTCTATATCCTTTCTGGTTCATCCAGGTAGAAGTCCTGGCATATTATTATGCCTGAGCGCTTCTAGGATGTATAACACGTTTAGCATTTCGATCCGTAGCCGTAAAAAACAATTTAGGCAGTTGTTCTATATCCTTTCTGGTTCACCCAGGTAGAAGTCCTGGCATGATGTTATTATGCCTGAGCGCTTCTAGGATATATAACACGTTTAGTATTTTGATCCGTAGCCGAAAAAGAAACTTGATTAGGCAGTTGTTCTATATCCTTTCTGGTTCACCCAGGTAGAAGTCCTGGCATGATGTTATTATGCCTGAGCGCTTCTAGGATATATAACACGTTTAGCGTTTCGACCCGTAGCCGAAAAAAAAATTAGGCTGTTGTTCTATATCCTTTCTGGTTCACCCAGGTAGAAGTCCTGGCATGATGTTCTTATGCCTGAGCGCTTCTAGGATATATAACACGTTTAGCATTTCGATCCGTAGCCGAAAAAAAGAAATTAGGCTGTTGTTCTATATCCTTTCTGGTTCACCCAGGTAGAAGTCCTGGCATATTATTATGCCTGAGCGCTTCTAGGATATATAACACATTTAGCATTTCGATCCGTAGCCGAAAAAAAGAAATTAGGCTGTTGTTCTATATCCTTTCTGGTTCACCCAGGTAGAAGTCCTGGCATGATGTTATTATGCCTGAGTGCTTCTAGGGTATATAACACGTTTAGTCTTTCGATCCGTAGCCAAAAAAAAGAAATTAGGCTGTTGTTCTATATTCTTTCTGGTTCAACCAGGTAGAAGTCCTGGCATGATGTTATTATGCCTGAGCGCTTCTAGGATATATAACACGTTTAGTCTTTCGACCCGTAGCCGGAAAAAAAATTAGGCTGTTGTTCTATATCCTTTCTGGTTCACCCAGGTAGAAGTCCTGGCATGATGTTATTATGCCTGAGTGCTTCTAGGGTATATAACACGTTTAGTCTTTCGATCCGTAGCCAAAAAAAAGAAATTAGGCTGTTGTTCTATATTCTTTCTGGTTCAACCAGGTAGAAGTCCTGGCATGATGTTATTATGCCTGAGCGCTTCTAGGATATATAACACGTTTAGTCTTTCGACCCGTAGCCGGAAAAAAAATTAGGCTGTTGTTCTATATCCTTTCTGGTTCACCCAGGTAGAAGTCCTGGCATGATGTTATTATGCCTGAGTGCTTCTAGGGTATATAACACGTTGGCAATGAAATCGACCGCAGACTTTTAAATGTTCTTTTTAGAAGGCACTGAATTATTTTTTCCGGACATAATGTTTGATGCCGCATTTTTGATTAATTTTATTTGTCGCCCCAGGATGATGACATGATTGCGTGAAAATTGACGCCTCTATCATATTAGATGCGAAATACGATCAGAGATTAAGGGAATAGGGAATGTTGCAAGCTACTGGGTATCCAGCTGAGATAGCTGACTTTTACTCAGCTATCTCAGCTGGATACTGAGGGGTTTTTTTGGTTGCTAAGACCGTGCAGCTCGTTATGTTTTCCTGGCCTGAGGAGTAGCTATGATTGATAGGTATTGGCAGAACGTTCTCCTGTTGGGATGTACCTGATAGAGCAAGAAAGCTCTGTGCACAATGGCTGAACTGCAAAGAGAATAAAGTCAGCAGCATTTCCTCAGGAGGCCGGATTACCTCAGTCGGGTAGAGCGCTTAACTGCAGAGCGGGAGGTCACAGGCTCGATTCCCGGGGCCGGAACAGTACTCAGGATCTCAAAATAACTGAGAAATGAAGGTACCGCCTTTACCCAGCAAACATTTAACATTGGCTCAGATGATCGCGTAAAATGGCGGTCCCCTCTCCAGAAGGCGTAAGAATAGTGTTTCCAGTTATTAATTTCGTGCTAAATGCATTGACACTCAAATATGGTGCAATTAAAAATGCTCTTGATCAAGGTGGTTTCAGTCAATTCACTGAGAGTTGCAAAATTATGTCAGTGGTGATTGCAATAATTAATAGCTTTTTAGCTGGATATTGAAACTACGCAAAGACGGACGAAGGCCTATTGATTGAAAATGAAATGCATACGATTTTAGAGCATGAGGAAGAAATGTATTAATTCATTCGCTTACCAAGTAAAAAGCGGTCGCACCCTGATCTTTCCAGAAAACAGTACCGTAGCTAAACATCCACGACTGAGATGTGACGGAGACCGCATGTTGTTCCCATTTTAATAACCAAAACCAAACCGTTATCTGACCAAAATGGCAATAGAGACAGAGGGGAGTCCAATTATTACGAGTGATGTTAAAAATAAAATTGGACGCATATCAGTACGACACAATAAAGAGGAGAAGTGTGACGTCACGTTACCATGGTGGCAACATTTCTGGATCACAACAAGAAGGAGCTTAAGCAAGACGACGGCGACGGCAACACGAAAGAAAAACACAATAGGTTTACATTAGCAAAACAACAACTTTGCACATGCAGCACGCTTTTTTGAACATTTCTGAGCCGTCATTGCACGTTCTGCGTCAGGAATGGAGTGGGTGAACAAATTTTCTTTTTTTTTTTCTTCTTAGATACGGTCGTTCCGGATTGAACCCCAGACAATTTCGCACCACTTGACAAATTTAATATCACTAATTTGTGATAATACTCTCTGAAAGATTCAATTTTTGTTCCATTAAAACTCAACGGAATTCCGTGCTTTTTTGCTCTTACTTGTGAAAATTCAAAAGACCCATTTTAATCACTATTCTCCTATTACAGCGCACGCAAGGCCGCAGACCAGCTACTTAGGCACGGACAAGTATTACCCTAATTTTTTATATCATACTGTCCTGCAGTGCAGAAATTTTGGGCTGGCAATAACCAAAACAACCACTTTGCCAATTTTGTTATAGTTTTGATTAAGAAAATAATGCGTGACCATGGGGGGTTGTTTTAGGTAAGTCATTTCAATGTAGTGTTTAGTTAAAGGGTCCCTGTCACTTGCAGTTGTTTAGTTCGTTTTTGCGTGTCATTATTTGCAATGGAAGTTGAGAAATTAATTGCAAATGGCAAGGTCACAGTTCAGCTTTATGTCGCAAAAAATTTCTCCTAAGCGGTATATACAGTGTAGGGGTATAAAATGATAAATTCCAGACTTTGCGAGACTGCGAGACCCATGTTTCAAAATTCGAGACTGAGACTTAAAAAAATCAAGACTCCGAAACGCAAAACCACCCAAAAACGAGACTTCGAGACTCACCATACATGAGATTTCGAGATCGGGCCAAAATTTTTCGAGACCCACGTTTTTCGAGGAACCATTCTATACGCCTAGTATCTCAAACGATACAAGCAAGAAAAAACTTTGAAAAACGTGTTAGGCAAACATGAGTTTACAAAAAGCACAATTGCAATCACTTTCAATCTTCTTCACAGAATTTGTCCATCCCGGCGTTCCTCCCCTTGAGTATTACAAGCTTCCACTTCCTTGTTACGAGTAACGTTTTAAGTCTCTTCCTACTTAACTTATCTCAACAACACAGAGCCCGCTTCTTTCTTAAGAGATAAAAAATCAAGCTGGGTTAGTAAGACCTGGTCACCTCCAGACAAAACCTTCCAATTTTATAAATCAAGGTATAAAAACGCACGAAATCTCACCTATGCATGGCATTGGTCGGAAAATCGGTGCCATTGCTAACTGAAACGCGCCCTTTCTATATTTTATAATTATTTAGCTAATACGTTAATTTTGGGGGGCCGGTTATTTAAATGGAGTTTATCCAGTGTTTACCAAAATCGCGTTCTAAGCCATTTTCGTTTTGCGCAACGCATTTATCTAAGCACCGTTTATCGTGGACATTTTCATGAAATCATGTAGCGTAGACTAGACAGCACTTATCCTCTTAAAATAACTCACTTAAGAAGAAGACCTGGAGGTCCAATGATTTCTGAAACCGCGGCCTAAGTTAACCTTTGTTCAAATAACCGACTCTTTATGTTTTTCGTTCACATGACTAAAGTTTCAAACAGCGCTTTTACAAATAAATCCTTTAATGTTCAAAAACTTCGAGTCAAGTCAAGTCAGATTATTCTATTTTCACTTTCAATGGAAGAAACTGAAGTTAATGAGTTAATGAAAACAATAAGTATTTACATTTCAGAAGACAAGCATACGGACAACAGAGACTAAAAGATGTACAACTGAAGGGAGTTGAAGCAGCTAACAGTTTTCCAAAAAGCCAACTCCCAAGATTGAAATCTATAGTTTTATTTTACAATGAAACTTGCAATGCAGACAAGACTAGCAATCACATGACTTGGCTTATCTCTAAAGACTGAGGTGTTGTGCACTGAAATATACTGAACTTGCATAGAAATCACAGAAGGCCTGAATTTGCAATCTACCCTAGTAAAGGAATTAAAACAAATCTTGACGCCTTAAACTTTCATGAGCTATCGCCTCAAAATGAAAATGACTAGCCCTCAGTCGCTTGCAACTTGACCGACTTGGAGATCAAGGACGTTTCTGTTTCCTTCTTTTTTGCTTGAGCCTTCAGTGCAGCCTAATAAACGAATGGATAGATTAATTAATAATAGAGATAAAGAAATGAATAAGAGTCATAAGTAGTTTTAAGGTTCGTGTAGATTCAGGGGTAAATTTTTATCCAAACCTAAAAGATCATGATTGATCATGTCCCATAATCTGGCTGCAATTACAGTCTGAACTCCCACCGTTTCTTTTAATCAATCCACAGGCACCTCAAGAGAGACTAAAACACTTGGAACAAAGAAATCGATTAAATTGTATTAAGATTAGGGAAAAACACAATGAAGCAAACAAACCACCATGAAATTATGATTCGGCTTTTTTTCTTGAGAACTTTGTCCAGTTGAATCTCTATAGCAGACTTTTTTTTCGCAGGTTAGCTGATATTACGTAACGGGATACCACGTGTAAGTGCCCTACACACTGAGCTTGCAGTGCCTATGACCCCGGGGGGTACTCAACAAATTTTTATACGGGGCGCTCCGTCCCGAGGTCCAACTCATTACCCTTTTATACACCATTTTTCACGAAAAAGGTGCCCCATTCGTTACCTTCCATTGACAAATGGTACCCCTTTCACATACCTCGTTTAGAACTTTGCATCCCTTTCAACTGCTGTAAATGCATTGTCATTTAAATAGGAATCAAGCACAATTATAGAACGTTTTCCCGACTTTATAAAGCCATAAAAATCATTTGTTCGGCCCTTTGGGCCTTTCACAGATCCAAATGACATATTTCCCTACTTTCATATACTTCAAATAGTGAAATCCCTAACCCTTTCATATACCTGAAGCCTGAAAAAGGTCCCCCTTTCGGGGGAGCCTCTCCGTATAGGCCATTTTAGGTAGTAACCCCCCCCCCGCCCCCACGGGGCCTATGCTAAGCTAGAATGACAAGAGACACTCAGTCGTACTACGATTATGAATTATGAGTAGTCCGCAATTGAAAGAAAGATCAGAATCTAAAAATTCTATTCGAAATCTGTGCGCGTTGACATAGGTAACAATTCCGAGGCCATATTTAAAGCCATGGCTTTTATATTCGAGGATTGATTTACCATAATTAGTTACATTATTTTTTTTAGCCGGTTTTCCTTTTTGAAGTCCAAAGGCAGCCTCCTTCGTATTGTATGGCTTTATACCGCGAAGACTAGGTGAATACAGTTTCGCTTAAAGCTATTATCCCATCAACCTTAGTCAATCAAGTAGTCTCCGATCTGTTTTAAACGCTTTCTGTGGTATCTTAAGCAGTTAATCATGAGAAACTATAAACTAACAGACTGACACAACCGCGTATCTCACAGTACTCAGAGTCCTTTTAGAATAAGGAACGTAACTCTTACAAGTAAAAAAAAGTCAAGTTTAATTTAGTGTTTTTCTGTAACAACATTTAGGGGACGTTAGCACTGAAACAAGCCTGATTGTTGAGAGAAAACCTCTTGCAGGCTAGGAAACTACATGGAGACTTGTGACGACTAAAGCTTTTTTCCTTCATGTTAAAACTTTTGAGCGCTTTCAGGGGCGACTCTCGCGTTTTCACTTGGGCGGGAACAGATTCAACGTCAGATAAATTTCATTCAGTTTACCTGCCGAAATGTTGATTCAGTCGTGTTAGAGATGGCTTTCAAGCGTAAGTGGCCTAACTACCAGAAGTAGGAATACTATTAATCAGTCTGAATACATACCCGCAGTAGAGAGGCGAAATCGGCTATTGCTTTTTTAAGTTCGAGATATCCCCGGCCTCTCTTTTTGTGGTGGTGCTTTCTCCTTCCTGGGCGATATAGGAAGCCTTCAGCGTGGTCCAACAGAAAACAGCTTAAAATTAGCCATAACGCAATGAAGGTAAAAAGACGTTGGGAATGCATCGCTTCAGTTATTATATGTTCCTGGCCAGCCGTCACTATGCATTGGCAGAGAGGTCTCTTACTAGGATGTGACTGATACTGCAATCAAGGCTCTGTGTACCAAAAGAATAAAGTCAGTGGCCTGACTTTTTCAGAATAATTTATTTGCCGTTTTACAAGTGAACATTGCACTAAATGCTCTCCATCTTAATGGTGATTGCAATTATTGTTTCACTTGGGGTATTTCGCCTAAGGTAAGACGCACCCAAGAATCTGATGATTTTTTGGCACATGTAAAATCGAATTCATACTGAAATTTAGAGCGTGATAAATCTTAGAGAAAATGAATTTTAAAACAAATCATTTGGCTTCGGGCTTACCTCTTGCTTGAAGTGGGGTGGCACCCTTGAACTGAAAGTGGATACACTAACACGCAAAAAGTGGCACAGCTTGGCATCTTTGTGTAAGAGGTGACAGAGACCTCATGTTGTTTCCATTATGTTGAAACAAAAGCAACTTGTTTTCTAATAAATCATGGTAATAGGAATAAGTCGCGTCTAACGTCTAATCATAAGAGCGATTAAACAAAATTGCGCGGGAGTCCGTGTTGTTTATCGCTTGTATAAGGATTGATTTCCAGTGTGGCGTAATTTTTACGTGCGTAAAATTTACGTTCGCAAATAGAATAGTGGCAATGCATGAAAGAAGCGTAAACGTTGAAACTTTCTCAACTTCTCCTTTAAGCTCAGCTCTTTTTATCTTGCCTCTATCTTATTTACGTGATTAAAATTTACGTGCGTTAACGAGCGTAGCCAAAAACGCGTCAGTGGAAATTAACCTTAAGGGCAGAATTGGAGACGCGAAGTTCTGTTACCTATTAATCCTGACTATAGCATAATTTGTTATAATAATATGTGATCATTTCAGCCCTTATTTTATTGAAGCAGAAGAACTTTTGAGGGCGGTTTTGTTTTTTGCTTGGAAAAATTAAGAGAACCCACTTCAATTAAGTGCTCTGCTGTCCTTTCACAGCGCGATCGATGGAGCAAACTGTCCAATTACTATAGGCATGACGCGCTCTGTCCATTACAGGGTCTGTGAATGATGCTCAAATCAGGGCTGCTGATAGCCAATCAGAATAGAGACATTATTATTGTTATGATTTTATGCATAATGCGTCGTTACGGGGGGTTGTAAGTAAGTCATTTCATATTAGTTTTTCTAATTACATCCGATATTTCCGATAAGTCTCTATTATTATTATATCAATTGAATATTAAATTCAATTGACATAACAACCTTGACCCTTTATACAGCAGATGGGAACTAAACTCATGTTTACAACACTTAACTGTTTAATAGATAAAGCACAGCTGGGTAGCTGTTTCAATATTTTGGTTTAACAAAAGCTGTTGACTCAGAAACTTAAACTTTAACGACATTTTTCTCAAAAGTGCTAATCTATAAAAAGACTTTGTGGTAAGCACGTTCAAGGTTACGAAATTTACAATGTAAATATACAGTTCGATACAGTTGAAAGTGCGTCTAGAAAAGTCCAGTACTTGCTTTATTAGCTGTTAAGTAGATTAATTCTGGGTTCAATTATGTTCAGTGGAACTTTTAAAGTATAACTTACAAGTACGTGTAGCTGTTGTTTTAAAGGCTTTAAAGCAATGGCTACACTTGTAAATTACACTTGTGAAAGTTTTAGTAAATTGACCCCAGGCAATATCCATCCAGTGCGTGTATTAACCTCTTAGTGCTACATATCAAGTGAATCAGTTATTATTATTATTATTATTATTATTATCATTATGATCATTATTATTAAAATTATTATCACTATTATTATTATTACTAGTATTATTATTATTAATTATGATTAGAAATAAAACGCACACTGTGGTGACAAACATGAGGCTAAACAAGCGCATAGCTAAGTTAGAATTTCATTCACTGACTTAAAGGTTTCGTATAACATACATCTTCAGAAGTAACCGTAAGCTTAAAATTTGAAATATATAATAACGGCAATAACAGTAAGTTGAGTAGCTAAACACGAAAAGCATGTATCATTTAATTATGATTAATTAATTAATGAATCAAGATCGTGAAAATATCGTCAATAAATCTTAGCCATATGTGTGGTAGGATTTGGCGAGTTAAGGAGGGCGTCCTGTTCGAATTCACCGAGAAGTAAATTTGCGTAAGAGGGTGCCACTTTGGTCCCTGTACCCGCCGCGTTTTTGAAGGTAGTGTTTTGACTAGTATTGGAAAGGATTCCTTACTTAAGTCAAATCTTCAAAGCACAACTAGAAATATAACCTTACTCTGGCTCTACAACTGAATAGGAAGACTTGACGACCCCGAAAAACAGCAGATAAAAACTTATCTCCGTTTACAAAATAGACAAAGCACAGCTGGGAAGCTGTCTTAATATTTTGGTTTAACAACGTTGTTGACTCTGAGGCTTTATTCTCGATGACACTATTCTTACATGTAGTAAGCATAAGTGTATAGCACGGTCAAGGTTACGAAATTTACAACGGTAAACTACACAAGTCGACATATAAATAGTTCAAAGAGCGCATGTGTCTAAGGCGGTCCAGTCTTTCTTTACAGTCAAAGTTCCCACTTAAAATCAGGCAATATCCATCTAGTGGGCCTTTTAACCTGTAAAATTAAATTTATTTTGTAAGGCTTGCCTTTTAATAGCTTCCAGCTTCATTGGTTTGGAAAAAAAAACTGAAAAACTAAATAGATTTTAATAACCTTTCTTGACTGCAGTGCTGTTATATTAATGTAATTTGATTTCGCCCAAGCGTACCTTCTTTTGTTCTATTATTTTCTCATCAGTGTGATCATTTCTTTTTTCTTGATTACGTAATATTGCTCATCTAAGGATATCGTAGCCCGCGTAGCAAGCGTTTCCGTTTGGTTTCTGAGCAAAGAAAGACCGAGGAACGGGATTCTCGGTTTTCTGGGTTTTGGCCGCGCGAGAAATGAAACAAGAGCCATTTTTTCGCCCGGTCTTTGACTCTCGTTTTTTGAACCTAAACCGCACGGAAACGCTTGCTACGCAGGCTAAAGATATCGTATCCGTCTTTCGCATTATACACTTTTTTAACTTTTTTAGTAATCTTTTATTTGGGGGCATTTCGAAACCATATTGATATCTTGTTCGCTGAGGTCTAGGCCTAGCTGCAAGTCATCTACTCGAGGAGCTTAAAACTACAAATAACCTCCGGAGGCTCGGGGAGCGTGGCCCTTAAAATGTCAGATGGGAGAGGGGAGAGAAATTAAGTAAATTGTGTAACCTGGGGGAGGAGGGCGGGTTTCAAAATTGGCTCTGAAATTGGAAGGTGAGACATGCCACATGTCGTTCCGGTTGGAGCAAATTCGAACCCAGTCCTCTGGGTTTAAAAATGGAAAGGGTGGGATCTGGTACTGGTGAGTATTAGCAAGCCACCTGCTCTGTAGTTAATGAAATGTTCATTGCGTAAAACGTGAGGAGTTCACTTGTCCAGTATCAAATAGTAAAAGAACAATGACAATCCCTGACAATGATGTCAAAATGTTTGTCATTTGTATGTCAGACACTGGTCAAAAAAGACTGAAGTAACTAAAGAATTGTAAGTGGAGAAAGTACAATGCAAATATGGAAAACTTTTGGCAACGTGTTAGCCACAACTATTAACAAGTTAATTATAACCGTGTTTTATTGTTGAACACGCTCCCACATAACGAGCCGTCACGTCTTAGCAACCAAAACAATCTTGGTTATACAGCTGAGATCGCTGACTTTTTCTACTCAGTAGCTCGCAACATACATATTTCATTAATCTCTGATCTTATTTTGTATCTAATATAATGGAGGCGTCAATTTTCAAACAATCATGTCATCATCCTACAGAGTGAAAACCAGTCGTAATTAAAAGACCGGTATCCCTTCGGTGAGACAAGAATCTCGCTTGGTGAGCGTTTGTTACAGTCTAACAAAAAGACTGAACATTAAAAGCCTGCGTATTTAGTCAATCCAATTTAAAATACTATCAAAGGCAGAGACGCTACCGACCGCGAATTTAATTAACGGCCTGAGCTATTGTTTAGCAAACAATATCACCCGATTTCATTGGTACTTTGGACGGTTTCAGCTCGATGCTCTGTGGTTGACATTGATTACGACACAAAGAAAGGCTAGCAGTCAACTATTTGGGGAACATAAAAAAAAACCAAAAGATTCGGCGTAATTATACAACTTATCTTTCAGGTGTACACACCGGCTTTTTTTCGCAAAATTGATTTTACAATGTCGTAAATGCTTGCAGAGTGCTTTAACGTCAACCTATGTTAATATTCCTGGAAAAAAGACAACCGCTCTTCACAGCTCGCTAACAAGACTTTTTCGGGAAATAAAGATCCCAGCCAACAATCATGTGTGATGGTTTTTGGCCAGCGAGCAGGGCTAAAAATACGAAAAAATACACAATACCAGCCAGTGTGGAAAGGAACTTTGGATTTGCCTGCTCGCGGCAGCATAAGAAAGTTATGAGCCATTTAGCGACGTTTCATTGAATACAAGATCTGTGTGTCGTCATATTTACTTTAAAAGGAAAGCGTATTTAACCTGTTTCACCCTCTTAACTAGTTTTCGACTAAGACGAAGTAAAGTTTAAGAATCAACAAACAGCATAACAGGTATTTTAGCTCAATCTACGTGTGATCCCCTCGCCAAAATCACTCCAAATTCAGTATAGATACATCGTTATCGTCAACATTGTATGTCATGCTACAATAACTCCGTAAAAGGTTTACCCCAGAACGGATGAAAATTTACGACATAGCTTTTTGGTGAGTATTTCTCAGTGTATAAAGTAAAGAAAGTTTCGTGTGAACAGACTTTCCTGCGGCTGAAAAATACGAGCCCACAAGACGTAACGTTTGCAGTTTTCAACTCGAGTTTCAACGTGGGGAGGATGGTTTTGTCTTTCGTCAGTTTCGTTAACGCTTTTAAGCCTTAACAAAAAAGCGAACACGGATATTTCTGTTGCTGTACGAAAACAATGCTGCCCACGATTTCAAATATGCTATGGCAACAGTTTATAGCGCAGCTCCACGCGTGGGCGGAGCCACATAGCTAAGGAAATGTGGTAATCTACCAATCCGAGAACATTTAATAATCACGTGACCGTAAACAGACCGACCGACTGCCCGCCCGACAGTCCGTCCGCACCACAGGCATAACAATGTAAAATAACTCAATCAGCAGGTATGGCAACCTAAATGCAACTCAAGGTTTTATGTGGAAGGAAATCACAAGGCCGCCCGGGCTACAACAAAGTCGTGTCTTTTTCGGCGCTATTTTTTGTGTTTACACTAACGAGGATAACAGAGAAAGAGCTAAAGCGAGTTACTGAAAACAAAGGAGACGAATTTTGTAGGAAGAAAAACATGGAAATTCAAAGCCGGGGTGAGAAAATGAGAAATGCTAGCGGCCAGCAAGGTGAAAATGAGCGGCAGTGAAAAATGAAAGCGAACATGAGCACAGGAAACAAAATATTGGGTAAGCACATGCGACAATTCCTCCATAAAAATAATGCGTAGCTAGGAGGTTTGACGTTTTAGTCGTACAAAACAGCGTTGTAGTCGTGCAAAACAACAGCAAGGGAAAGACAAAAAAGCGTGCTGCACGTGCATATTTGTTTTTTGCTAATTAGAGTGTGCTGCACTTGCAATTTGTTTTTTTTGCTTATTAGATCTATTATTCTTGAGCCAATTTTGCTGTCGTCCCCGTTTAGTTACACGATTTAATTTCTTTTTGTTTACACGTATTATTAACCAGAGCTTCGCTTTTAGCCCTGGCTAAATCTATATAATTACTAACGTGTTGTTGTAGTAAGTTTCTCTGCACTGGTAAACTGAACTTGTTAATGAGAAGTTAATGACTTAATGACAACAATAAGCTAGTATTTACATTTCATAAGACAAGCATACAGACAAAATAAACTAAAAGATAAATAACTGAAGGGAGTTGAAGTAGCTAACAGTTTTCCAAAAAGCCAACTCCCAAAACTGAAATCTATAATTGACAACGCAATTAACTAAGTTATAAGTAGTGGGATATGAAACTAGCAATGCAGACAAGACCAGCAATCACATGACTTGGCTTATCTCCAAAGAGGTGTTGTGTACTGAAATATACTGAACTTGTACAGAAATTCGACACAGAACACCTGAATTTGCAATCTACCCTAGCGACACTTTAAAACTGTCATTAGTTATCGCCTCAGAATGAAAATGACTAGCTCTCAGTTAGGAGATAGGGTCGCTTCAACTTGACCGGCTTGGAGCCCAAGGTCGTTTCTGTTTCTTTCTTGTTTGCTGGGGCCTTCAGTGCAGCCTAATAAACGAATGGATAAATATTGATTAATTAATAATTAAGATAAAGAAATTAACTAATACATAAGAGTTTAAGGTACTTTTAAGGTTAGTGTAGATTTAGGGGGTAAATTTTTATCCAAAGCTAAAAGCGGAGCTTCTATTAAATACATTCCGTTAACCGACTTGAAACTTGCAAAAACAAGTTACAAGTCTACTCAACTTTTGACATTTAGAGTAAGCTTTGCTGATTAAATTAAGGCAGATTTAGGCAAACCTGAGAGGGAAGCGCCCATACGAAAACAAGTTAAGTTACTAAAACGCAATTACAACAATTCCCTCTCTGTTAGTTAAATGTGCTCGTTAATTTTTTGAAACTCTTATGCATTATTAACCGCTAGCTCATCAGAGCTGTAAAACAAGTTGCGCCAAAATTACTGCATTGATCATAACTGTCGGTAATATTTTCTTGCATGATTTGCTTTTGGCGGCCGTGATATCCGTAAATCTTATTGTTATTGGTCAAGGATACTAAGGGCGAGTTATTATTGTTTCACCAAGAGACAAAAAGGTTCCAGAAGGAGTGGACGTGCTGGCATTCTACATACAGATGCTCTATGCGCGTACGGTCTTCTTCAATTCACACACATTGCAGGTCACTGTCAGTAATTTTGGGCTGGGTAGCACTTTCGCAATTCTAGCTGAGATTGACTTAATGGCAACTTTATAGTCTGTATTCAGAAGCGAGATAGGCCTCCAATTATCCAAAAGGGTCCTGTTTTTGTCCTTCTTTGGAATTAGAGTGATGATATCTTTCTTTTGAGAAATTAAAATTTCTCCCTTCTCAAAAGCATAATTAAAGCTCTCAACTAATTCTTGCCCTAATAACTCCCAAAAGGAAAGATAAAATTCCGCAGTTAAGCCATCCGTACCAGGAGACTTGCCTTTCGAAAAACTTTTAAGTGAGGCATACATTCTTCTTTTGTTAAAAGACCGTCGCAGCTGTCAGCTTGATGTGGAGACAGTTTTGGAAGGGTTGAACTGTCGAAAAACACGCCAAAGCGAGGATCATTTGGGTCTGTACGAGAAGTGTAGAGTCTTTTATAGTATCTGTGCTCTTCATTTAAGATTTCATTAGAGGAAGACAAAGTGCGATTTTCAACTCTTAGTTTTGTGACGTACTTATTGGAATGATTTCGTTTCTCGAGATTGAAAATAGGCGTAAATAGACTCATGTCCTTGGCTTAAAGAACGAAGGATATCAACCCATGCAATATGCTTCTCTTGTTTACGCGCAAATTATACGTGGAGTGAACGAAATCAATTCACTAGCACCTCGAATGGGAGACTAGAAACACTGAGAACAAAGAAATCGCCTTACATTAAGATACCCTGCGAGCAAGCTCTCCGGGGAGCTCTGGCGGCGGGGCGGGAAAAGGAAGGGGAGCTTGCAACTACCTCTCTGGAATTTGAGGCCGCGATCCATTCAACCAAAATTTCCGGAAATTTCGGTCCAAAACTCAGTGGATCGGTTCGGTCCAACCGGAAAAGTTTCGAAAAAACGGGTCCACCTTTTGAGGTGGACTACTTTTCCCGGTCGGACCGGTTGGAATTTTGGTTGAATTGATCGCGCCCTGAGTTTCACCTCCAATTCCCCTGTGGCCATCCGTCAAATGAACAGTCAGATTTCCGCCAATCAGCGCGAAGCGGAAAGGAGCGCGAATATAAACAAACATTGAAAAACTCGTGTCAAGGGTAATGACGTCATTACTTAATATGTTATCTCCGTCAATCAGCATTTCACATCGACTTTTTCTAATAGGCCACTTCCGAGTTCTAAAAACCCTTACTTTCAAAATGAGCCCAAGTGCACAACCTTTCTTGTGAAAATGAGTTTTATTTGCATGAGATTTCATATCAAAGGCTGAACACTTAACTTCGTTTTGATACAGAGACCCAGGAGAAAAAGGAAATGGCCTATTCCAGAGACGTGTAGTTGCAAGCTCCCCTTGCCCCGGAGAGCTTGCTCGCAGACTAGCATTACGATTAAGGAAAAACACAATGAAACAAACAAACCACCATGAAATTATGTTACGGCTTTTACCGGGATACTGTTAATAACAGACTTTTGTTTGCAGCTAAGCTGATATTACGTAATCGATTATCACGCGTAACTGGCCTACACACTGAGTTTGCAGTGTCTATGATAGCTATAGAATGACAACAGACACTCAGTCCTACTACCATTATAAATTATGAGTAGTCCGCCATCGAAAGAAAGATCAGAATCTAAAAACACTATTCGAAATCTGTGCGCGTTAACATGGATAATAATTCCATGGCCATATTTAAAGCGGTCGCATTTATATTCGAGGGTTGATTTACCATAATTAGTTAATTTTTTTTTTTAGCCGGTTTTCCTTTTTGAAGTCCAAAGGCAGCCTCCTTCGTATTGACATTGAGCGGCTTTATGCAAAGAATAGGTGAATAGCTTCCCTAAAAGCTCTTCTGCCATTATAATAAAGTCTTCGATCTGTTCTCCCAAACGTTCTCTTGGGTATTTAAAGCTGTTAATGCGAAACTATAAACTAACCGACTGTCACTGACAACCGCGCATCAGACATCAGACAGTATTTTCCAAATTTGGAAGGTAATTCTTACAAGTTAGTAAAAGGAACCAAGCCGAAATAAGTGTGTGTGGGTGTGTGTATACATAACAAAATACACGAAACGTTAACACTGAAACAAGCCTGATCGTTGACAGCTAACCTCTTGAAGGCTTGCCAACGACATGGATACTTGTGACGGATAAAGTTTATGATAAACGTTGAGAGCGCTTAAATAAAGAGTCGACTCTCATGTTTTCACTTAAACCAGTATAGACTGAAACATATAAATTACACATTAATTCAGTTTACCTGCCGAAATGTTGATTCAGTGGTGTTGGAAATAGGTGTCAAGCGTAAGTCCTGGTAAGTAGCAAAACTACCAGAAGAAGAAATGCTATTAGTTAGTCTGAATACATACCCGCAGAAAAGAGGCGAAATCCCTCACGGCTTTTTCAACTTTGAGATTATATTTCCGGCCTCGTCTTTTGTGGTGGTGTTTTTTCTTTCCTGGGCGATATACGAACCCTTCAGCGTGGTCCAACAGAAAACAGCTTAAAATCAGCCACAAGGCAATAACGATAAAGAGACTTCGCGAATGCATGATATTTCTACGAGTGATATTTCAGATACTTGGCTGAAAGGTGACTTGTTGGTACGTCAATGATAATGCAATCAATCCTCTGTGTACAAAGAGAATAAATTCCGTGGTAACGTCTTCAAGAATTATTTATTTGCCGTCTTACAAGTGAACTTTGCAGGTCTTAATGAAGACTGCATACAATAATTGCTTCACTTAGGGTATTTAGCCTACTGTAAGACGCACCCAGATTATCACATGCCAAATCGAATGCATAAAACTTTAGAGAATGATAAAATTGAGAGAAGATGTATTTTAAAAATCATTTCGCTTACCTCTTACCTGAAAGGTGATCGAGCCCGTATATTGCAAGTGGATACACCAACGGGCAAAAAGTAGCACCGCTAAAAATCCGTCTGATAGATGACAGAGACCACACGTTGTTCCCATTTTATAATAAAACAAAAGAAAATTGCTTTCTAATAAATCATGGAAATAGACTGTATTCTAATAGGGCTTCAGTCATACGAATGATTAAGCAAAATTGCTGAAAGGGACAGGTTCACGGCTCAGCGCATGCTCATTTATCAAAATGCTGTTTTTCTGCCGGGACATGCTGTATCGTCTATGCAAGCAATATCATCATTTCATAATGTTTTCAAAGAACCAATCTGCACACTTTCCTGGCAGTCACTTGCACTTGATCAACTTAAATATTTGCACATAGCTGTAAATTAATCAACCATGGAATAAAACCTTCAGGTTAACAATACTAAATTCAACGTTGGTAGTGTTGGCATAATCCACTAATTTTTTCTGCGATTTTAGTACTCCTCCATCCTACTTCAGGTTCCTCTGAAATACACTTCTACTTTGAAATACACTCTGAGATCACTGAGATACATGTGAGTGGGATTATTAACCAATAGAATTGATAATAATTTTAAAAAAAGTAATTTAATTAATGAGCACGCGCTTAACAGTGAACCCGTCCCTTTTTAAAATCATGTCCATGCAGAAGAGGATAGAATTAGACGAACGACGTTCTGATGCAAATTCATGCTGACTATATCATAATTTGTGATAACAGAATGTTATAATTTCAACCCTTTTGCTGGGAAAATTAAGAGAACCCACTTCAACTGAGTTTGAATTAATGCTTTGTCCTATTGGTGAGCACTGTCCAATTACTGTATATATGGACATCACGTGCTCTGTCCATATCAGACACTCGGGGCTGCTGATAGACAATCAGAATTTGAGATATTATACTACTAAACGAGAAATTTCTGCAAGTTGATTTCCTTAGAGCGGTGGTATTTCAGCTTGATTTGAAATACCTACATATCAAAATTACAAAACCTTTGCGGGTAGTAGTATAAACAAATAATGGCTTGATTTGTACGTTATATTTGGCATAAATACAACTCGTGGTATTTCAAAATTGTCTAAAATTTCATTCGGCTAACCACTCTTGAAAGTACGTATCACGATTTCGAAATATCAGTCGTGGTATTTATGCCAAATATCACTACAAATCATGCTATTACCTATACTTAGTAAATGCCTATGGGGGGTGGTAGGTAAATCATTTCACATGATTCTCTATTGTTATGAACCATTTAATTCATTGTTGATTATCGAAACTACCTTTTTTAATGCTCTGTTTGCTTCTTTTGCTCAATTAATACAGGAGTATTTGTTATTCTGTGCATTAACGGGGGCTCTAGATCTTTAGTTACAAGTTACCTAAAGTTAACAAGCGTTTTCAGTAGTATTTGCTTTAACTTAAGAGAACAGCTAAGCTGTTCCCAAGAACTTTTTTTTTATGGGTGTGGTTGACCGAAGGAACCCCGATTTAGACAGACCTTGCCCCTTAATTAAGTCAATTGTTCAAAGCAAGACTAGAACTATAATATTTGCCTGGCTCTGAGATTGAGTACGAAGTAGAAAAGAAAATAAGTGACAAACAGACTTTAACACCCTATATACAGTAGATGTTTTCAACACTTAGTTGTATAACATACAAAGCACAGCTGGATACCTGCTATAATATTTTGTTTTAAGAAGGAGTGTTGACTCAGAAACTGTTCTAAACATTATGCAATAGCGATAATCTATTAAAAATCTCTTGATTAAAACTCTATGGATAGCGCAGTCAAGGTTGCGAAATTTACAATAATGCAATATACACAGGTCGACAAAGGGCTTCTAGAACACTCCAGTGCGGTTTGCTTTACAGTGGAACCAGGCAATATCCATCTAGTGGGCATATTAGAGCTAGATATCAGTGAATTAAATTTTTTGATATTCATTCAAAATCATTATGTAAGGTTTGCCTTTTTATGGCTTCTAACTTTGTTATCAGTTTGAGAAAGTTGTAAACAATGAAAACTTACCGATTTTGGAACATTCAACGTTTTTTCCTTTCAAGACATTCTATACCCTGAGTACTAGAATAAAATTTTAGTAGAATTGCCTAGGATATCTTTCAGTCGTTAGAAAGTGGTTGTCATGGGAAGAAAAATCAACGTAAACAAACAACTGAGGCAGGAAGTCGTGTCCTGATAGATTGCAGTGAAAATCACCAAACTTGTGAGTTTTGTTGAGTCGACCATGTATCGCAGAACCTCGTGGGGCTCGCAGAGCGTGGCCCTTAAAATGTCAGAGACGAGAGAGGAGAGAGAAGTCAAGTAATTAGTGCAACTAAGGGGAGGGGGCGGGTTTCAACATTGGCTCTAAAATGTCGTTCCGGTTGGAACAAATTCAAACACAGTCCCCTGACTTCGATAAAGGCAGGATCGGGGTCTGGTACTAGTGAGTATTAGCAAGCCATCTGCTCGGTAGTTAATGAAACGTTAAATGCGTAAAACGTGAAGAGTTCACTTGCCCAGAATCAAATAGTAAAATAACAATGACTATCCCTGACAATGTGTGAAAATATTTACTATTTGTTTGTAAAATAGACTGAAGTAACTAACGAACTGTAAGTGGGTAAAATACAACGCAAATACGGAAAAATTTTGGCGATGGTTAGTCACAACTAAGACAATATTCTTAAGCAAATTAACTATAACCGTGTTTTATTGTTGACCAGCTCGCATAGGTGAGACTACTGCCGTTCAACCCCAACGAGTGGGGCGGGGGAAATCGGGCCAAAATTTTTCAAGACCCACGTTTTTCGAGGAACCGTTCAATACCCCTAGTATCTCAAACGATACATGCAAGAAAAAATTTTGAAAAACGTGTTAGGCTGACATGAGCTTACAAAAAGCACATTAAGTCAATTGCAACCCGTTTCAATCCTCTTCACAGAATTTGTCTGGAGTATTCAAGCATCCACTTCCTTGTTACGAGCAATGTTTTAAGTCTCTTCCTACTCTTCTTATCTCTTTAACACAGCGCCCGCGTCTTTCTTAAGAGATAAATAATCGAAACTTAAGCTGGGTAAATAGTAAGGCCTGTTCACCTCCAGACAAAACCTTCTAATTTTATAAATTAAGGTTTAAAGACGCACAATATCTCACCATTGCATGGCATCGGTCGGAAAATTGGTGATACTGCTGACTGAAACGCACCCTTTCTATATTTCATAATTATTTAGCTAATACGTTAATTTTTTGGTGCCGGTTATTTAAATGGAGTTTATCCAGTGTTACCAAAATCGCGTTCTAAGCCATTTTCGTTTTGCACAACGCATTTATTTAAGCACCGTTTATCGTGGACATTTTCATGAAATCATGTAGCGTAGACTAGACAGCACTTATCCTCTTAAAATAACCCACTTAAGAAGAGATCTGGAGGTCAAATGATTTCTGAAACCGTGGCCTAAGTTAAACTTTGTTCAAATAACTGACCCAAAGTTTCAAACAGAGCTTGTACAAATAAATCCGTTTCTGATTAAAAACTTCGAGTCAAGTCAAGTCAGGTTATTCTTTTTTCACTTTCAATGGAAGAAACTGAAGCTAATGAGACATTTCATAAGACAAGCATACAGACAACAGAAACTAAAAGATGTATAACTGAAGGGAGTTGAAGTAGCTAACAGTTTTCCAAAGAGCCAACTCCCAAGATTAGAAGACTGGGGTATGAAACTTGCAATACAGACAAGACTAGTAATCACATGACTTGGCTTATCTCTAAAGACTGAGGTGTTGTGTACTGAAATATAATGAACTTGCACAGAAATCACATAAGACCTGAATTTGCAATCTACCCTAGTAAAAGAACTTAAACAAAATCTTGACGCGTTAAACTTTCATTAGTTATCGCATCAAAATGAAAATGACTAGCCCTCAGTTAGGAGATACGGTTGCTTCAACTTGACCGGCTTGGAGTCCAAGGACGTTTCTGTTTCTTTCTTTTTTGCTTGGGCCTTCAGTGCAGCCTAATAAACGAATGGATAAATTAATTAATAATAAAGATAAAGAAATAAATAAGAGTCGTAAGTAGTTTTAAGGTTCAAGTAGATTCAGGGGTAAATTTTAATAATCTGGCTGCAATTATAGTCCGAACTCCCACGGTTTCTTTTAATCAATCCACGGGCACCTCAAGAGAGACTAGAAACACTTGGAACAAAGAAATCGATTAAATTGTATTAAGATTAGGGAAAAACACAATGAAGCAAACAAACCACCATGAAATTATGATTCGGCTTTTTTTCTTGAGAACTTTGTCCAGTTGAATCTCTATAGCAGACTTTTTTTTCGCAGGTTAGCTGATATTACGTAACGGGATACCACGTGTAAGTGCCCTACACACTGAGCTTGCAGTGCCTATGACCCGGGGGGGTACTCAACAAATTTTTATACGGGGAGGCTCCGTCCCGAGGTCCAACTCATTACCCTTTTATACACCATTTTTCACGAAAAAGGTGCCCCATTCGTATACCTTCCATTGACAAACGGTACCCCTTTCATATACCTCGTTTAGAACTTTGCATCCCTTTCAACTGCTGTAAATGCATTGTCATTTAAATAGGAATCAAGCACAATTATAGAACGTTTTCCCGACTTTATAAAGCC